TTTTCTCCTCCAGGAACTAGTGTCCAAGAAAGCAAGGCTAATCAAATATTAACTAGGATGCATGTAATAAATTAAATGATTATTTTTATACATTTTATTGATTCTATCAGCTTATAAGGTATTAAGGATTCTGTTTTGAAAATAAAAAAAATCTACAAATATAATTTTGGCATAAGGCTGTTCCAAACATTTAACAGAACAAAGGCTCTGACTGTCCATTCATCCCTGTCCCCCCAACACACACACACATATACACACTGTACACATTTGCTTTTTTCAACATTCTTTGAATAATCCTGTATAGAATTTTAAATCCTAGTTTTTCCCTTCAACAGTAAACATTTCGCCATTTCATTTTTAAAAATCTTCAAAAGCATCATCAGTAGTTGTATTTTTATGGAAGTAATAACACATGCTCATGATGAATACACTCACAAGGCAGAGGGTATAGAATAAGGCCTTCTTTCCCATTCCCCACTCCCCATTTCCATTTCCCATTGGGTAATTCCTTTTTTTGGTGGTTCAGCATATCCTTTCAGGAATTTTCTACACATCATTTATATCTGCATATAAAGGATGCAGATTTAAATATATATCATTTCAATTCTTTTCAAGTTCCACTTCAAAAACATCTGTTCTTTATATGTATGTGCTTTCATGTAACTTCCTTTCTCCGGTAGCAGAAACTTGTTGTTGTGCATTGGTATGGTTGTTTTGGATACCAACAATCAGAACAGACTCTGTATATAGAGAGACTCTCCATTGTCCGGTCAAAGCAAAAAAGAAAGAAGACATTACTTCCTATTATAAAAGTTGAAGGAGGCCAGGCATGTCCCAAGCTCAACAAACTGAATGCATTCACCCAGGGCTCTGAATCTTAAGGAGATAAAAGTTCCAGGGACATTCAGAGATCATTTACCAGAGAGTTAAAAATCCAGCAATGGTAGGCATGTTGCCAGCAATGTAGCAACCCAACCAGACAGTCAATGATGTGTGCTCAGTGGCTTCATCCCCCCTGGTCCCTCCCAGGTTTTAGAGCCCGATCATACAGACTTCCTTCTCTTCAATCCTATGGTCTCCCTGCTAACTTTCCACTAAATCTCTTTCCTTGTTTTAGTTACCAGAACTGACTTCTGCTATTTCTAGTCAAGAACACTGGCTAATGCATCAACCTTTGCAGTAGACAATGTTTTCTTTGCTGTCTTCTCTAGTGATTTTCAACTTTGAAATCTTTAAATACATATATCTAGTTTAATATACTCAGATTTAAATAAATATATTTTCTCTAATTATTAAAATCCAAAATAAAACAACTGCTGACTCCTTTCTATATCCTATCTATCCAAATCTCCCAGTCTCTACCAACAATGTTGAGATATTATAGAAGTCCTGTTTATTATTATGCATCATTCTTTGACTACATACACTTTTTTCTTTTTTTTTAGTATTTTTGATATATAACTGTAAATTTATGTGTACAACATGCAAATTTGAAACATGTGCATGGTGTAATATCATTGCCATTGCAGTGATAATTAGCACATTAAAAAAAATAGAACAAAATAAATCATCATATTTGTATGGAACCACAAAAGACCCTGAAAACCAAAGCAATCCTGAGAAATACCTGACTTCAAATTATACTACAAAGAAAGAATAATCAAATCAGCATGGTATTAGAAAAGAAACAGACACACAGATCAATGGGTCATAATTGAAAGCCTGAAATAAAACCATATGTATATGGTCAAATAATTTTTAACAAAAGAGACGAAAACATACAATGGTAAAAAGGAAGCCTCTTCAATGAATGGTGCTAGAAAAATTGGATAGGACATGCAAAAGAATGAAGTTAGACTGCTGTTAGACTTTCTTTTTCAAAAATAATTTCCAGCGAATATTAGTTTTTCTGTAAAAATAGATGTCAGTTATTTATATGTAAATTTTCATATTTAATGGTGTGTACTCCTCACAATAGTTATAAACTATCTACAACTTTACTGTTCTCACGTTGCTGAATTTGATTTATATCTCAGAGTTCATCATTGAGTAGTCTTTTCAGAAAATAACACAGGGATTTATTTTTTGTTAATTCACATCTAACGATGTCTCTCTGCCGCCCAGGCACATCAATGTCCACTTGGCTGAGATTGGATATCTTTGGTCCCAACTCGTCTCCATTCAATACTTTGTCACCTTGGTTCTGTCTGCTATATCCTATCAATTCCTGATCAGCAAATCCTGGTGAGCCTCACTTATCCTCCTTTCTATGATTGGGACTATGTTAACTGTATAAAACAGAGGATCCAAATAGCAGTGGCTTGAGTTTATATCCTTCCTGTCATAAAAAGATTTAACCTATTCAGACTATAATAGAGGATCCATGTCATTAAAGAGATTACAGTGTGGCTCCCATCCCAAAGTCTCTTCATGTCTAAGATGGATTGATGGCACCACCCCATGTCCTAATGAGAAGTAAAGGGAGGCAGGTGAAGGGTAAAGGAGTGAGCATACCAATTTAGTTGGCACCTTTAAAGAATTTCCCCATGAACTTTGAATCAGCAGCTTGCAAGCAGAAGTCTCAGCCTCCTGTATAGCTAAAGGTATACAGGAGGCTAGAAAATGGAGCCTTGTAGCTGGGCATATGGCCACCAGGAACAAAATAAGGTCATTGTTAAAAATGAAGAAGGGGAGAATCAACACTGGGTGGGAAGATAACTATCTCTGTCACAACAGATAATATTAATTTTCTTCCTAGTGTTTACAGAATTTGTTTTTGAAATTCATAAAAATTTCTGGGTCATATCCAAGAGGATCTTTTTTCATTAATTTTACCTTGAATTATTTTGATTTGCAGATCAAGGTCATCCCCCCCCCCACACACACCCTCATTTTACATAGGTTTCTTTATTTACACTCTAAGTATAGCTTCTACTGTAAAAAAAAAAAAAATAGCTCAGACTGGGTGGTTGAAACAAACAGAAACTTATTTTTTCACAATTCTGAAGGCTAGAAGTACAAAGTGAAGAAACTGGCAGGGTTGGTTTGTTCCAAAGCTTCTCTCATTGGCTTGGCCATCTTATCGCTGTCTCTTTACATGGTCTTCTTTCTGTGCAAGACTATGTCCAAATTTCCTCTTCTTATATAGACATAGGTCATATTCAATTAGAGCCCCCCATAATGACCTAATTTTAACTTGTTTACCTCTTGAAAGACCCTATTTGCAAAATTAACCATGGTCATTGGTAGTAGTTAGAACTTCAATATATGAATTGTAGGGGGATGCAATTCAGCCAATAACATTATAATTTTAGTGTCATTCTGTAGAATACTTAAAATCATTGAACTGATAACTATTGTTTATTTTTCATACCTATTATCTTTCTTCTGTCATCTTGTCTCTCCCTGTCACTGATTCAATTCTTCACTCTAATGCTTGAAACAAAGACAATATTTCCCAACTTGATTTTGTTTTTTCTTACATTTTGTTCAAGTTTTAGATATTTCTTTCTGTATCTTTCCCATTTCCATTTTTATCACTCTCTGTTAACGTTTCATAAAAGCTATATGCTTGCTGTACAAAACCACAAATTTTTGGTAACATTCAACAAGAAGCACATATTTAGGTAGTGGACAGTTGGCTGATCTAGGAGCACATGTCTCTCATCCTCCTCATTGGATCAAAGCCATCACAGCAGTGGCAGAAGCACAAGAGGGCATATGCTCACTGGCATAAACCCATTTCAGGTCCTTCCTGAAACGTGCTAATCGACTGGCAAAAACAAGACCCCAAAAGTCAAGAGCAGAGCAGGAAATACATTTTTCCCACTAAAGTGAAGGGGAAGGAGTGATAATTTTGAAAAATAATCTAATCTACTGCATCTTTTTCCATATTTTGAGAAACCTTGAGCTTCAATCTCCTAAAATTTTCCGGTTTGCTTTATAAAATATTTTTTCAAATAAATTGTTCTTTTCTAAGACCTCAAGGTAATGCTCATTTTCCCTTATACTACAGAATATTTTCTCAGGACCCAGAGGATTTCTTCAATCCTTGCTTGGGAAGAAATCTATTCAGACCTGCTAATTATCCACCAGACACGTGGAAGGAAGTTTTTGCACTGCCCCACCTACCACTACTTTCTGCTAAGGTCCTGACTCCTGTGTGTCTTGCAAAAGGTTTTCTAGTGCCATATGCATAAATGGGACAGAAACTCCTCTTTCTCTGGCAGTGTCTCCAACTGAAGTGAAGCACCACACACAAAGACAGCAGGTTTTGTTTGAACAGGATAGGACTTGAAAGATTTCATTGCCAGCATGCACTGCATTCAGTGCTCCTCTTGTCTACAGCCAGTGAACAAGTGGGAACAAGTGTATAATTCTAAGCTGCCCTCAGAAAAGGTCTTTGGCTACTAGTATTTCAAAGGACTCTTGGAAGGATATGACATGTACAGCTCTCTGCTACCTGTTAAGTGTGCCAATGTTCTACTGCCTTACCTGACTTAAGATCTGGTCTTTCCCTCCCAGGTCTACACTAACCTACTGAAGGTCTTGAGTCCAACCCAGGCTCTTCAATATAGGACTCTCCTGAATGCTTCCTGAAAGAGGACTGCAACCCTAAGTAACAAAGAATATTATAACTTCAGTGACACAGCCATATTCCTTAATTAAGTTGACAACACTATCTACTTTAAGGATTTTTTTTCTCTTTCTTCTGAGATAAACCAGAGTATCTCTGATGGCCCAGGATATTAAAGTCCCACAGTAAATGTTTATGTATCTTTATATAAGTGGACCAAATATTTCTTATGGATCTTTACATAAGAGGAACATAATAAACGTGCAAAGAAGGAATGAACAAACTTTGAATGTCAGCCTTTCAGAGTATGGAGCATTGAAAAAAGTATATTAAAAAAAAAAAAGTAAAAAGATTACAAAATTCTGGGAAACAAATAATATTCCAAGTGCCACAGTACATTGTACCAAATACCTCTTTCACCCACCTCATTCTCCCTTTTTCCTTGTTACGCTGCACAACTCGGCTGGTGGATTTGATGTACAGGTGCCGATGCAGCTCATCTATGAGAACCAAGTGGAGATTCATCTTCTTGCTGTGAAGCTCCAGCCTGAGGTCACTCAGTCCTTCCACTTGGAGCAGGGGGCCCTCCAAAGACTGCACTGCTGACACCTAGGAAGGGGAGAGAAGACAATAACGTATAATAACTAAGCAACCTAGAAATATTCTAAAGAAGAACTATTTTTTAAAAGATAGTGACAAAGAGAATCTGTGAAAGCCTTATAAACATACACTGGCTTTGTGAGTACAGTCCCCTTATCGGTGGTTTTGCACTCAGCAGTTTCAGTAACCTGTAGTCAACCAAGTCCAAAATATTAAATGGGGGAAAAAATCCAGAAATAACTCTAAAGTTCTAAACTGCATGCCTTTCTGACAGTGCAATGAAATCTCACACCATCCAGATCTACCCTGCCCAGAACACAAATCCCTCTGTCCAGCGTATACATACTACATACATACACTATGTGCCCATTTCAGTTATCAGATCACTATCATAGTATCACAGTGCTTGTGATAAGTAATCCTTATTTTGCGTAATAATGGCACAAAGTGCAAGAGTAGTGATGCTGGCAATCGAATATACCAAAGACAGCCATAAAGTGTTTCCTTTAAGTGAAAAGTTCCCAACTTAATAAGAAAAAAAAATTGCATGGTGAAATTGCTAAAATCTATGGTAAGAACCAATCTTCTTTCTGTGAAAGTGCCTAATTTATAAATTAACTTTTATAACAGGTGTGCAGCTAAAGGCAGAAACATAGTATATATAGGAATCAGATACCCACTGGGGTTTTCGGAACACATGCCCTGCGAGTAAGGAGTGACTACTGCACAATGTGGCAAGGCCTCGCTCTGCCTTTGAAGGATTTAGCATCTGAGACACAGAATGCTTACTTTTCATAAGCTTGATGAAGCATCTAAAGTGCCAGCAAAGCTGTACATAAAATGAATTCCCATATACACTGCCTATCAATGGACATGAGTAAAATGAACTCTCCAATTAAAGTGATTATATCAGACATATTCTCACAAGAATTCCACATACTAATGGTTTAAATCAACTTTCAAAGCTAGCCTTTAAAGTCTAAATAGAAGCACATAAATGTTTTTTTTTAATTTGTATCTCTGATAATTAGTGACATTATTTTTTATTTTTTATTTTTTTAAACATATTTTATTGATTTTGTACAGAGAGGAAGGGAGAGAGATAGAGAGTTAGAAACATCGATGAGAGAGAGTCATCAATAAGCTGCCTCTTGCACACCCCCTACTGGGGATATGCCCGCAACCAAGGAACACGCCCTTGACCGGAATCGAACCCGGGTCCTTCAGTCCCCAAGCCGATGTTCTATCCATTGAGCCAAACCGGTCTTGGCAGAAGCACATAAATGTTTTAATAATTCTTATGATGATCATAAACCAGAGCTTCGTTAGCCTGAGTCTACATTTGCGTTTACATAAAGTCAGTCTCTCTTTCTCATATATACATGCACACAGAGGTCAATGCAATTTTACCTGAATGCTACAAGCAGACAATAGCAGTCATGACTCCTTGGCTTAACCCAGCTCAATAGAAGAATGAGAATTAGAACAGTGAGCAGAAGATACACTATGGAGAAGGAGATATTCCTGGTATAAAGTGCAATTTGGGACATTTTAAGACAAAATGGGTTGGATGAATTAAAATGGTGTAGGAATGCCTACAACAACGGGAGAAGATAGGGAGGGACTCATGGAATCTAGAGCAATTTATTTGGAAACCAAAGTGTATATAGGTTTGGAAATCATAGTGTATATGTTTCAAAAGAAAAAAAAATAGTATGTATGATCTGATCCCATTTACCCATGTATATGAAATTATATTATGTCCTTATGTATAAAGATCTTATATATTTTAATGCAAAAAAAAAGTGAAGAGAATATTCTCAGTACTATTCCTTTGGAGAACAAAGTTGGAAGTAAAAAAAACACAAAGAATGTAAATGTTATAACAACAAAGAAGAGATGACCACAAGCTGAACTCAGAAGGCAAGAGCACTACCAAGCTCCCTGAAGGGATTAGCATGTGATGACTATTACCTGCTTAGGTCATCCTTCTAAATCTTCCTAAGATATACAATTAAAGGCAAGAACTAATAATGCTTAATTCAGGTTAAAACATTAAATACGTTTATGCAAATAAACATGCTCCTAAAATATGAAGCATTTAGACAAAAGGAATAAATGGTGAAGGCCATGAAACATACCAGTGGGTAAGTGTTCATCAGAGATCTATACCAATATACACAGTCATGGAGGAGCTTGTGAACAGTGAATACAGACAGCTTGGGAGCTGCCAAATACAGAGTGGCCCGAGAAGGGGAGAAAATGCAAAGGCTTACCCACAAACATATCACTTGTTTGTGATATGCTATAATCAAATGTCAGCAGCAAATAGGTTTCCTTACATTTACCAAGAATCAGGGAATGAAAGAGTGACAAGCCCTCCGCAGCCCGCCTGTTCATTTTCATTGCTGACTTGCAACTGCCCTGCTCTGAGAGCCCTGGGCCTGTGCAAGCTGCAGCAATTCCAAATGGAAAGGCAGCCTCACAAAATGACCAGCGGGTCCCCAAGGAGGAAAAACAACAACAAATTCATTCACATGGATGCTCTAAAATGGATTTTAACTTGGGTCTCTAGCAGAGAAAAGAGGACGCAGTAACCTTTAGTGACATTGAAATCCAGAAAATGAAAAATAATCTGGTAAACCACTGGTCCATCATGTAGCCTTATCCCTTAAGGTAATTAAATCCAGCTGAGATATTTAAGCTTAAAAATCACCCACTGCACATCCATGCTTGATTTGTTTGTACAAACTTGCATGAAGATTTGTAACCCAAATACAACAAATTCCAAATACAAAATTATATGATGTCAACTTTCAAAGCCAATCTTAGTTAAAATTTTTTAACATATAGGTAAAAAAGCACAGTGCCTGGCACCTGTCTGTTCTGTGAACAAAGAGACCTCAGCGGGTGTTTTCAACATGCTTTGATGCAGCATTTTTAGTAACGTGTTGTTTCCTTCATAGAACCATTGTATCCATACAGATTACAAAAATTTCTGATTATGTACAATTAACACACACACACACACACACACACACACACACACTATCAAGAGCGATCTTAACACTTCTAAGATTTGAAAACCTTATCACAAGGAGAATAGAGAATAGCCTCTTATTTGTATTTGAAAATACAGTGTTTTATTTTCTGTCCTTCACTTGTTTAGAGTCTGTTCATAAAACTGTAATCATGGAGGCTAGGCAAGGTTACTGTCTTCCCTCTACTCTACTCTTCCTAACCAACTGGAAGAAAATAATTGTCAATGCAACATTTGATTCCCTAGAACATCAGTTTAGAAACCTGACATTTATCTTATCTTGCTTTAAGTAGCCTGCACCATAAAGTTTACACATAAAGAAAAACTTGGTGAAGCAGCAGTCAAACCCACAACCATCACCGGTGGTTAAGTCTGGGGGTCTGGCTTCCAGGCACTTACTGACAATAAGGCTTCACTGCAGGAGAAATCCACCTACATTTAGAATTGAACATACCTCTTAATAAAAATGCAACTAAAGAGACATTTAATGTGTGAGAAATGGTTATTTCATAAATTATTTCACCGTTTTCCAAATGTAATGACTACAGAACACTTCAAAATAATACACTGATGAAACATTAACAGGAATTCGAGAGATGCAGATGGATCAAAGCAGCAGCAAAATGGCCTCACAGGTTAGTGGCTATGGAAAGTTATCAAAATTGGGTTCACAGATATGACTCTGTGACATTAAATAATGTCACAAATATATATTAAAATTGTAAGTGAAAGGTGAAGTAGACAACAAAAGTGGAATAGTTCATAGGTAAATGTTGCCTATACATCTCCTCACAAGACCATTATCATTCATTCATACCCCAAATGATATTTACTATGACCTCTTAGAATTCTAAGGTATACCACACCATTTCTTATACATTACTTACTACAAATAGATAATGAGCCAATTAATTGTATCTAGAATTTCTCTTACATATATTTTCAAAAATTATTTGGAGGCGGGGAGGAAATACTACTTAAAAGGGAATTTTTTTTTCACAGTATACCAATTATTATCTAACAGAAAATTGGTATTCTACTCAACTACTCATATAAATAACAAATCTGTTTTGGAGTTGAAAGCAAGTATTTCCTTCAGGATTATGAAAATGAACAAACATTTACAAAATGTTTTAACACATGAGATTGAACAGGACAGCATGTTTTGTTATTAGAAACCTGCCCATTAAGAAAACATAAATTCTGAAAAATGATTCCATAACTCTAAAAATAGGTCAAAATGCAGTTAAAATATACATTATAGAGAACTGTCTCCTATTTCAAAAAAAAAAAAAATTACCTTGAGATGACATATAAGTCTACAACAAAAGAAATCTTGGTAATTATGAACAATAGAATCTGTAATTTTTCTTTCCCAGTGTATTTCACAATCTCATTTTAGTTTAAATGAGGAAATTATTATTTCATAGTAAAATTTGTCTTCTGCCCATCTTATTCAGGATGATTAGGTAGAAAGATCTAGTTTTGTGCCTTAACATAAACCAATAGGAAAGTTTCAGAGAAACCCCAAAACTGGCCACACTCAACAGCTGCTTCACTGAAGATGCTACTAAACGGGAAACTATCGGTCTTTTTTATTAACGGTTTTAGGTGGGAGAGGTGAGCTCACAAAGGTACGTGACATTAGTAACTGTTTCTAAATAGAACTAAGGTTCCAGCCAAAAGAAGAAGGGAAACTTATAAGTATAAACAAAAAGCCAACCTGCTAACTAAACCATCTGCTAGCTAATGAAAATGCTTATTTTGGCAACAATATTCCCTAAGAAAGCAAATGTTTGCAACTGTTGAGTCCAAAACAAATACTTCCTTCAGGACTCTGATAATTAGTTTGTCTCTCTGAAGGAAGCTATTTTTTTTTTTTTAAAGTAAGACAACATAAACATTCTGAAAATGTTGCCTTGGCCCAATTTATGGGTACAATCAAAAGATAATGAAATTTGACTATTTC